ACAAATAGAGAAGGGGGGGGGAGGTTGCAGGGTTCCATTTCGTATATGAAATAGTTTCAGTAATCATTCGTGAGCAACAATATTGTTCCAGTTGCAGTACAACAATAATTAAATGTTATAGCATAATGTTAACAAACAAAACTATTACCCCATGAAAAGAACAACAACAACAACAGCAATGACGACGATGACGACGACAACGACTACACAAACAGTTTACAAGAACCCAGAGAACGTTCCTAACATGAACAGATATTATCGGCTTAATGATGGACATACCTGACTTGTGGAAAGTTTGAAACAGTTGAACGCTTTATATGAAGCGTCTTGGAACAGGTCTGGCGTAGGCAAGCCGAGCTCAGCTGCAGCCTCGCGGAGGCCTAGGATGTGCAAGTCCGTGCCATGACCCAAGATTGTCTGTAAAACACGCAAAAGCAGGATGCTTGTTTGTGATACAGCCTAAATTGCTTCTTGTAACTGTTCTATCAGACACATCGCTATTAATAGTACCACTAATGAACAAATTAAGGTTCAGTTCAACATAAAAATATATATCATAATTTTTTTCGAATGTAATCATTTTTCTTTCTCGGTTTCCTTTTCTATATTATTATCTTTTCTGGGTTTTTTTATTTGTAGATAATACATTAACTCTTTACAACAGTGACCCTTACATTAAACCGTGCAACTTGTCCTCAGGTTTTGCTTTCTATTGTTTTTGAATTTCATTTCAGTTTTGTCGACTTACTTCAAGCATGTTGTCTTGTTGCCACTGGACAGCTTCAGTCAGAAGTCTACGTTTATCCTCATCCTGAAAAGACATAAAATTGTAAGATTCCAACGGTGGTGCTTGATACCTAAAACACAAACGTTCAGATTTTATGGCTTTGCTGCTTGACGAAGTAACATATTTTTAAAAAAATTATATTCATTCATTTGTAAATATTTAGCAATATGGTGATTCTGTGTTGTATTTTAGAAATGATTAACAAAGGAAATGCTTTGTTTCGAGTACTATACAACTAAAAGAATTACTTTGTTATACATACACATTTTCCAGTTGTGTTTCCCTTACCTTCAACTAAAATAGGCAGGCAACAATATGCATACTGTGAAATATCCAAATTCGTGTGTTTGATTTGTGTATGTTGGTTCAAAATGTGCCGCAATGTTGCTTTCAGTCAGCTGCTGATCGGATACATTCCTACATGACCGCTATGCCCTTAAAGAGTTAAAAATGTGTAAACAGATCCACTCACCGTTGCCTCCGTTTGGCCCAACATTGCCTTGATCCAGGCAAGGGCGGCGGGAGAGTTAGCCCGGATGTTGTCTACCCTGCCGTGTCGGTAACGGCGCACCGAGGCGCTCTCGTACGTCGACGTCAAACATCCATGGATTCTGAAGACAGAAACGTTCATAGGTGTCACTATCTTTTCATAGCCATGGGTATCACAATCTTTTTCATAGCTGTAGGTATCACATTTTTTCATAGCGATAGGTATCAAACTTTTTCTTAGCCATTGGTATCACTATCTTTTCATTGTGATAGATATCACTATTTTTTCATAGTCATACGTATATAACAATCTTTGCTTAGCCATTGGTAACGCTATCTTTTCATAGCATGTCTTTTACGAGAACCGTCTTCTGTGGTGTAGCTGTTAAGCGCTTCGCTGACGCACTCAGGAGACCCGAGCTCGATTCCCGAGTGGGGGGGAAATTTTATCGAGTGTCTCCGTCTTTCTGCTGGGATATTGTATGCTTCTCGGCGTGGCTGGGCCCTAACAGGCAGGGTCGGAAGCCCTCCTCGTACATGATTTAAATTGTGTCGGTAGGGGTACAAAAACACCTATATTTAATTTTTTCTCACGCGAGAAGGGAATGACTCGCAACTCATCAGACGACGTTGCTGTAAAGGTCTTAACACACATGTAAAATTCCTCGTTATAAAATCGGACACTTATGTTATTCAGAGCACTGGACAGATGGAATTTAAACATTCTTTAGTAATGAAAAGGATTTCAAAAGTTCGAAAAGAAAGTTAATTATTTTAACCAATTAATGTTCATGCTACACTCAGCCTTAATGTATTTAAATTATTCAACCTTATTTGCTCTCGTTTATTAATTTGTTTATGTGTTCCTGCATCCACTAATTCTTTGCTTTGTTTTGTCCCCAGATACATACTTGTAATAGGTGAGCTGTAGCGCTAGTTGGATGTAGGCATCTGGACTCATGCCCTGGGCTTTGATGAACTCTCGTCCATAGCGGGGGAAACGGAAGACAGCCAGGTCAAAGTCATCAACCAGCCTGTTGGATATAATCATGTTGAAATGAATACATTAGGCACTTGGCAACACCAGGTTCTTGTTGTAGTTCAAAAAGATTTTAACAAAGAAAAGGCAAGGGAATTTTTTTTTTGGACCAAACAAGCCTAGCATCGTGCAAGTAATCAATAACTGCACCGAATAAAGTGGTCAATGTAAAGACAGATATAAAGACATGAAAACACACAGACATTCTCAATACTCTTTTCTTACTATCTTTTGCTGCGATTTTCTCTTTAAGGGCACGTGGGATTGCATACGAGGCAAGTAAATCTACAGCGCAAAACCAATCAAGCACAAACTCATCAAAAGCACAAGACAAATTGTTGAAGAAGTCCACAAGGCAATGGGGATTCTCCGTCTTCATTCGTCAAAATAATATTTCCCCAAAATATTTGCACTCTTGAACGCCCAGAGGGAGCTCAGTGGCTGTCCCCCTTGAACTCACGATGTTTGTTCCACAGCCAATTTCCCTCGCCCAATATCCTATTTGCGTTGAGGACAAAGAAAATTTGTCATCGTGTCCTCACAGAAAGAGAGAGTGGGTGAGTGAGAGAGAGAGCGACAGAGAGAGAACGAGAGAGAACGAGAGAGAGAGAGAGAGAGAGAGAAAGAGAGAGAGAGAGAGAGAAAGAGAGAGA